GAGTACTAACCCTTATGCTAATGAGATGGTAAGGACCCCTCACCACCCTGTCTACCTATGATCACCCATCGGTAAAGTAATTCTCACTCTTACCTCAAAAATGAAACTTTTGTTTTTCTTACAATCGATTAGTCTTGTGTATTTTCAATTCCCGCGATCTGCTACTTCCCATCTTTTTAATTTTCTTTCACGTTTACCTAGTACACATCTCACTTTAGAATATATAATTTCTTAATTTATCCCAATTGGGCTTACACCATCGACCTCACCCCCCAAAAATCTGATGCTCATACTTTATTTCAAAAAATATATTTTCTAAATAAAATATAACACTTTATTTTATTTAAATAAAAATTTCAATTTAATAAAAATCCTCAAAAATGTGAATTATTTCTAATAATTCTATTTTCTTCAATTGTTATAGTTAAAATTATTTATGTATTTCTAATAATTTAAACAAATCCTATTTTATTTTTTCACTCTCAAACTCTATAATCTCAATAATTATTAAGTTACTAAAATACCACTAAATCTCTAATAACACCAAAATAACACAATTAATATGCATAAACATTCCAATAATTAACTAAAATATTAAATTTTAAAAAAAATTAAGGTGTTACACAAGTGAGTCGGAAAATTGGATGGATAAGATCCAACACTACAAGACAAAATTTTACAAAAACTGATGTGCACAAAATTGCAATCGTTGTTGTTTGTCTGTCCAACAGACCTGCCACAGGAGGCATTGTTCCATGCATGCTAGAAATTGTAATACCTTGAGCTGATTTGAAAGAAATAAGAAGGAATATAATGTGTTTAATTTGGCCAGAAACAAAGAATATTCACAAGGCCTAAATTCAATGACAAGACATAACTCGAAAAGTTAGAGGTCATAAAAGGAACCTCTTGGACAAAATGGAAAGAGGTTCAGAAGTTGAAATACTTAAGAAATTACTCTAAAAAAATATCTTATTGAAGAAGAAGAAGAATTTTAAACCAATGGTGAAGAGTTTTCGCCTCTCTCCCCCATTGAAGAAGTGTTGAGCATCTTGGCGTAACAAAACTCGCCTCCTACTGATTGAGAGACTGCAAGGAGTAGAGAGTCATACTTAGGTTTATATTTTATTTTCATTAGTGTTTAGAAATATTGTATATAAGAATTTATTTTTCTGTATTTCATTTTCTCATCATAAGCTAAACCTCTTTATGTTACGCAATGTGAAGTCTAACGAAAAGTAGTATTTTATGTTAAATGGTGTGATTTGAAGTGATTGATTTTACTATGTGGAATAATGTTATACATATGTTTCTTTGCTTGATCGCCTTAAAAATAAGAAAGTAGGTTAAGGGTTGAGAGATATATTAACTAATAGACTTCACATGTAAATACAGTTGAAAATAGTAGGATAAACATATTCACTAGATTAGTCACTTTAGACGATGACTTGATGACTTCATTATGACGACAAAGTTTCTCCATGGTGGCATATATCATTGCTAGGGCTTGCGAATCAGTGTCATATAATATTAAAATGCGGGTTGTCACCATTGATGACCAATAATTGATTGGGTGAAAGCTCTAGCTAAAATGGTGTGGTTCAAGAATGTTTACAAGACCCCATAATGGGTGTCAACTGTACTTAATGTGAGTATAATAGAAGTGACATTGTTGGTGATATACCAAGCAAGATGTCTTTAGTCAATGATTTGTGTAAATGATTATTGACCTAACCCTATAAACATGCTATAGTCATTTTGAACTGAAGAAAATCCTAATTGTCTTAGGCGCCTCCTTGCTTTTAGTCAACCTGACACGCTCCATTAGAGATTGTGGTAGATGACCTCTTTTCAAGGATCTTACATGATATGCCGACCTCGCTCACTTGTCGAGCACATGGTCAGCTTGTTGCCTTCTATTTAAGATCTCTCACGTGCCCGACATGATGACAATGCATTGGGCTAATGTTGTTTGTAACATGTGACCTTAGACTACAAACAACATAATGGTCCAATATTACTTGATAATCTACACTTCCTCAAACACTGGACATGTAAGGATAAAGTGTTTATAATGGACTTGCTTACTAATAAGAGAATGATCTGTCAAAGACTGTGGTCATGGTCAAAGATTATGGTTAAGGATTGTGGTTGAATAAAATCACAATATGTGGATCAAAGAAAGCAACACCCATGGTTTTGTGAAGATGAGCACTTATAAATAAATGTGCATTTCTCATTCATAACACAACAAAAAGCATTGCAACATAACATAAAAGAAAAATTCAGAAAGAAAAAATATATTGTATTTTCTCCTATAAAGTTCTTTTAGTGAGTGTTCTCTTTTTACAAAAGAAAGTGTAATTTGTTCTCTCCTTGTATTTAGAGAGAAGTGTTATAATTTCTTCTATTAAGTTAAAAAAAATTCTACCTATATCCGTGATTTTTCTCTTATTTATTGAGAATTTTTCACGTAAACATTTGGTATCAATTTTCTACTTATTAGTTGATAAAATTCAGTATACCTTAATTAACTTGTATTGATGTTAACTATTTTCTTCTTATATAAAAGACCATAGGTGGTAATACTGTCTCGTGTGCTTTGCTTTTCCTTTAAAAAAAATTAAGTAAATAAAAACAAAAAGGAGTTTTCTTTTGTTCCGTCTGAAAAAGCATCAAACTAATTAAATGTTAGGTAAGTAGAGTAAAGAGTAAAATTAGTAATCAAAGTTGAAGAACATGAGACATGACGAGGTAGTTATTTTTGAAGGTTTGGAACATTCGAAGAGTTGAACTTCCTCAGATGAATTACCACCAAAGTACTTGAAATAATATTAAAGAGTTGAACACTTGAACAAGGAAGTATTATAACGCAAGTCACGCAAAGGGTCCAATAGAGGCCCGAATCTTAACTTGACTATTAATAAAAGAATATGATAAAATTATATGACAATTTAACTAACTATATTATGAGTCACTATCTTTGGCAGAAATTCGTATCACAATCAAACTTTGCTACTTTCCTACGTTTTTTATTTCCTTTTGCTTTCTTCATTCCATTATCAATTTCCATTTCTTTTATTAGTTAGATTTCCCTTGTGTGTTTTTCTTTTACGAGAAAAACTTTCCCTTTATGATTTCATTATGTCTTTGGGTTTTACAACTAATTTTTCCTATTTTGTTTGGGGCTTCATCTCATTCTTATGGCGTCATAATATGCTTTGTGGGGACCTCTATCAAATTGCAGGCCAAACTGTTGCTAACACATTAGCCCATTGAGTTTGTTTTTTCAATAGCCCATTTAAGTGGGTGACTTTGTTTAAAATATAAGATTGAATATAAGCAACAAAAAAAAACATGTAATTTGTTGTAAAACATAAGTTTAAATTTTATATTGAATCTGTATATGAAGTATTTTACATGTTTGGATTATATATTTTGAACACTGTGAGTTTGTTATATCCTTTTAATATGAATTGTAATTTTCAGTTCGAAATATAGGATCATTGATCGACCCAACATATTAAAACGAGATCTCTTTTTGTCCATTTATTATAATTAAAATATTTAATTTTATGAGATATTCTAAGATATTTTATGATTAGATTTTTTGGTATTTATTATGAAACTAATGTTAAATTTGATAGTTATATATTTACAAATTTTTTTTATCAAAGTTGAATTATTTCTCAAAATAAGAAATCGAATATAAAATTCTCTTTATATGCTGAGTCTGTTAACTCTAATATATTATGTTTATTAAACTAAAGTCTTTTATTTATCTTTTTTAAAGACTTTTATATAAGCAAGAGTAACACAAGAAAATAAAATTCTACAAAATAAAAAGTAAACAATATTTAGACAATAAAATTTATAATTATCAATAATTTATTTAAATTAAAAGTATGAGTTAAATATAATTTTAGTTCATATAACATATCAATGTTTTAATTTTTATATAAAATAAGGATTAAAAAATATTAAAATTTAAAGTATATCTAATTTAAAATTAAATATTAAGTTGATATTATGAACTAACAGATTTCTGAACTAACAGATTTAAAAAACTTTAGAAAACTCATACATACTGTTAAACTGCTCAACATAGTTAATATACAATTCTTTTGTAATATACATGATATCCTACAATTCTTTTGGTTTGATGCTTTTTGCACTCCCTGCTTTAGCCTTTGGATTGTTTTTACATCCAACTTACATATACCTCTCATTTTTGTTATTGTGTGATAATGATAGAGTAAAAATAAATGAAGTTGGAAAAAGAAAAGCATGCAACATCATCAATCATCAATGTGTATGGCGGTCAATGAAAATGACTTGTAGCATATTATCTAAATCCTCTAACAATTTGTGACACATCTCTATTCTATAGAGACTAAATAACATTATCCTTCTTTTCATAATTCATTAAATCCAATTGAATATGTCTTCTCTTTAGAAGTAACAAATAAATTCAAACAAATATATTTTCTATTCACGTGTTGTATGTTAAAACCATGAATAATATAGTTGAAAAATGTTAAACAATTTGATAGATTTTAAATGCTTCCTAAATATATCTTGGACAGTTTATTCATTGCCAAATATTTTATCTTAAAAAACATTTTAAATTTGCTTAGTACATAAAAAACATATAAGATGTGTTAAAAAATTATCTTAAATAGACCTCAAGGTCTCACTTGCAGATTGGGCCAGAAAAAGGTTTTAGGCCCAAATCCAACCAACATCCAGCCATAATTATGTTTATCTAACAAACCTACACGACATTAATAAAAGATAGATCCTAAGGCACCTCTGTGCTGGACCCAGTTATCATTCGTGTGATGATGTCACAGAAAAGAGAGAAGCAAATTGATTAATTAATTAATTTGATTTGATTGTTCATACTACAAGCTAGCTAGGATGGGACTAAAGTGTGTCCACAAAATGACATCCAAAATCCACAATTTTGATTTCTATGGGTCCATGCACCTCATCCCATCTCATATATCATCAAAGTATTCCACCAACACGTACAATGCCTTCCCATTCAATCGTTCACGACCCTGTATCAACCATCATTACTCGTAACATAACAATTATAAAGACACCGACACATATCAGACACATTAATATCAACCATCATTACTCGTAACATAACAATTATAAAGACACCGACACATATCAGACACGTGACATATATCAGATATCAGACAACTCGTAAACAGCCTTATGGAGAAATAGAGGTACCTTTAGTTCTGGCAATTCAATAACACATGCACACTCAACTACCTCTGCTCCAACACGTTCTAAAAAAAGAACAAAAACGTTAACATAATGAAGGAAAATTGATAGTAGAACTTATGGTAGAATTTTTTTACCGAGTAAATCCATGGCTGCACAGAGTGTTCCACCGGTTGCAATCAAATCATCAACAACTATAGCACGTTCACCAGCTTCAACAGCTCCAACATGCATTTCAAGACAATCGCTTCCATATTCCAGAATATATTCTTGAGATATAACTTTGCCTGACACACAAGATTTTCTTACCATTAACATCATGCCAGAAAGTTTAATTTGGTTATATCTTTTCTCTGACAAAAGATTTTTCTCTGACACAAAATTTATGTAACAACGATCTCAATCAAAGTTGAAACCTTCACAAAACCCATATTGGTTCATTTATCAACGCACAATTTGAAATTTTATTTGTGCATGCTTGATAAAAAAATAAAAACTTAAACGCTATGATGAAAACATAATATTCTATACCAGGCAACTTCTTTGGTTTCCTCAATGGTACAAACTTTGCTCCTATTGCAAGGGCAATGGGAGGACCAAAAATGAAACCACGAGCTTCGATTCCTATAAAGTGTAAAGAGAAGAATAATTAATTGACCACAATACAAAATTTTACAGTAATGCATATGCAACTGTGATACATAGTGTAGTTATTAAATACTAACTAAAGATATACTTCTGTGTCATTTAATATTGTATGTATTGTCAATATTTTGATATTTTAGTTTGTATATTACTGAAAAATATGAAAAGGTAAAAAAGTATCCTCCCGAAAAGAGATGCGAACAGTCCAAAACTATAGCAATGATGCCAAAATACATATTATTCTTCATCTAACATTAAAGTCCACCATTGAAGAGAAGCTTCCTAGTATGTTATGTGTCACAAAACAAACATTAACATAATGCCAATCCCAGAAGCCAAATAAGTACACAAACAAAAGACAAACTCACACACTATACCCAACTGTGTAATGTTACAGTTAATTTTCATTTTCAAATAGTTATAAAAGAAAAAGAAAAAAACAAACATCAAAATGGAGGAACCCACAAATTATACTATAATAATGGAGTTTGGAACATGCGTTTAAGTGGGTCCATGTCAAGAAACGAGAACCACTTAAGAAAACTAGAGAAAAACAATGAATGGCACCACACCACCCACTAGCCACTAACCATAAAATACAAAGACCTCATAGTCAAACAAAAAATCATTCACAAAACACAGTAATATCCATTGCATGGTGTCTCTTAAAAGCACTTAAAAACACTATCACAAACAAACTTATGCAATAATATTATACTCTATACTCCTACCCAACTTTTTTTTCTAGCTATGGACCCCCACCACCATCTTCAAGCTAACCATAGTGATGACGATAATGACACCATCATCATCCTCAACATGAATATTTAAAATATTTTTATATATGCTTTTAAAGTTTACCTGCAACAACAGAAATGTTTTTGCCTTTGTATCGTTCTACGAACAAATCGATGGTGTCTTTGAAAGCTTTGGGGTCCAGTAACAGAGTGGTAATGTCTTGGAACATGATACCTGTCATTGCAGGGAAAAAAAACAATGAAAAAAAAAGTTTTATGGTTGAAATAAAAATGAAAACAGAAAGGGTGAGAGAGAAGGGATGAGAAGAAACCGGATTTTGGAAAGTTGGGGACGACGCGGATTTTAGTTTTGATGCCGTGAAGACGAGGATCCTGGTTTGTGTAAGCTGACATTGTGAAGGAGATGGAAGGAGAAAGAAACTGAGAGAAAATAGAAGAAAAGAAAATAACAAAGTGGGAATATATTTATAGTAGGGATCTCTTTGGTTACTAGTTACTCTTATAGGGTAGTTAGAATTAACCCAATTTTAAAAATAAAAAAGGATTATATTATTTATAACTATATTTTTATTTAAAAAAATAGATAATACATCGAAAGTGTAAAATAATGATAATTATATATTTCATCAATTTAACATAACAGAATAATATATTTTTATTAAATATGAGAATAAAACTTAGCATATCACAGTTAAACTATTTTTCATATTATATTGTATATGTTGTGACGAAGTTTAAAGTCATGGGTCATTTGATATGAATCTCTTAACAAATTTCTTTTTGAAGTTAGTTCACCATTTCAATTTGGAAATTGTATGGGTGACTTTACTATGACTTTGTGATTTTAGTTAACATGATGAAAGAATGAATAATTAATCTATACTAAATAGATGTGAGAGACCAAAATTAAATATACCAATGTCATTGAAATCTTGTCCTTTCAATTTATAGTAACTGGGGTGGAAGAAATACAATTGTGAATTAACTCTATGATATGATTAAGTATGTTGAGCATATTAAGAGTGTTTCTTGTAACATGAGAGAAAGTAAAGTAATGTACTCCAACATGAATATTCTTGTATTAGCATCATTACAATTTTTAATTAACAAATTTTTTCATCCACTAAGAATATTATGGACCAACATTCATCACTACCTTAATCAAATTAGCATAAAAATGGAACTTTATAATTTCACGGCACTCTTGTGCATCAACAGAATTTCTTTTTAGAAGACAACCTTCTATGAAAAATAAGTTTTCACTTGGCTACATTTTCTTTCAAATGAAAAGAAACATTGTCAATGAGAACAGGTGGAATGTTCTTACAAAACTTTTTCTATCTAAAAGAGATTTTAACACATTTTAGAGGATGTTCAACTAAATTTTCATTGTCTTAAATGTTATTTATCAACTCATTGACATGATCTTTAACATTATAGTACACAGTATTAAGAGTAATCTTCTTTCTTTTTAAAACTTTGTTTTTGTCAAACTTTTTGTTAGCACTTTTTCTTCTTCTTTTTCTCAGCATTTTTCTTCTTTTTATCATTTACTTTTCTTTTTCATATTAACGGTAGTCTTCTTTTTATCCTCCTTTTTTCTTCTTTTCTATTACAACCTTGTTCTTGACCGCAAAGATCTTCTTTTTTTTCTTCTTCAGTCAACTAAAGATACTAAAGAAACTTCTTCTTTTGTTACATTTCTAGTTTTTTTTGTGGGATTTCCCTACAACAAGAGTTTCGTGAGCAATGTCATAATTGATCATCTCATTAGCATCATCACTCACATGTTTACTTGTAATCTCATCAATTTCCTCAATGATATTTGTTGGTCCTTTTGGGATTCGTTGCATTTTGCAAAACATCATCGACTTTACTCAAGTCGGTTTTGGTGTAGAAGGAACACGTGTTGAACTAGATGTTCCAACATGTAGTTTGCAACATCTGGTCTCTATCAACAACCAAATGATATTGTAGTTTTATTTTAGTATTTCTTTATCCAAGATTCACTCTACAACAGAAGACCTAGTAGATATGGAGTGGAGTTAATTTGGATGTAATGGTGCAACATGTGGAACACGATGTTCTAGCATGTGCAATAAAACATCTTGTATTATTCAGCAGGCCTTGATGGATGTTGTTTTGTGTGCAATTTATGATTGAGATTCAATCATATTGGCTTTAGTTATTTTAGCAATATAAGTTGATTTGTTTGACAGCTAAAGATGTTCAAATCAGATTTAAATGGGAATTAAATTCGAATTTGAAATATAACAAATCATATCTTTTGAAAAGATTTGAGTAAATCATATCCAACTAATTCAGCTATTTTCTGGACGAATTAAATGTAGATGCCCGTTGAGAAAAGCCCATAAGACATTGTTATATAAGGAAACTCAATTCTCATTATTTGATAAGAGTTTTGGTGCGTAAGAACTAAGTTCTTCATGTTAGGGTTTGAGTCTTTGTTACTTGTATTTCACGCTAATGTCATAACCGGATTAGTGTTGAATCTATTGTTGTACACCTTTTATATTTCAGTAACTTGGCATGGATTTTTTGTCTTGGTTGAGTTGTAATATTCAACATTACTCATTGAGTTGTAAACATTAATCATGGGTTCCTTGATTGAGAAGAAAGTGAGTAGGTTTTAATATTTAGGTATAATCCTTAAATAAAATATCACTATGATTAGGAAGATACTTTGAACAACATAGAGTTTGTTAGTTCTTGTAAGATTATGTGTACTAGTTCAGAGTAGTGGATTTCTTTTCTTGGATAGAGTGCTCTCTAGATGTAGGTGTTGTTTCATCGAATTGGGGTACCGATTTCGTGTGTTATTATACTGTTATATGTATTGTCTTATTGATACCATATTACTGGTGTTCTGGTTTAAGAAGTTGGGACAATTGTTTTAACATCGTGTCCAATATTTGTCTCCTTGGAAACAAAATTACAATTGGCATCAGAGCAGACACCCTATTTTGTTTGAGTGACCTCCATGGAGGATATTTTTTGTTCAAATGGACTACACTAAGGATGGAGGGTCTGTCAATAGACCACATGTTTTTAATGGCACCAATTACTACTATTAGAAAGCTAAGATGGTTGTTTATCTTAAATTCATAGACAACAAAACTTGGAAGGATGTGATTAGATGTTGGAAACTCTTAAGAAATGTGTTTGGATCTAACTCAACCCTATAAAACCGATTGGTAGGGTGAGGATTACCCTCACTTATAAACACATGTTTAGGCCATATATTATCTGGTCTGGAACTCTAAACACGCACCCCTCACGCTCAGGACTAGACAACTTGAACATGGAAATAAATGGTGAGTGACTCTGTAACGCCTCGATTCTAATTTTCCAATTTTTATTGAGTCTTTTATTTTTAATTGGAATATTAATATGTTATGTGTGCATATTGTGGTACTATATTATTTGGAAAGTTTTGGGAAATTAAGTTGGAGAGTATTTTAGATATTTCTTAATTAATAATAAGATTAGATATTTTGTGAGAAAATGAATTGGTAGAGAGAAATATTTTGAGAGAAGAAAATATAATAGAGAGAAATGGAATAGAAAGATATATAAGGAAAAAGGAAAAGAAAAGGAATAGATAGAAAGAGTAGAGAAAGAAAAGAGGAAGAAGAGAAAAGAGGAGAAAAGAGAGGAAAAGCTTGGATTCATCAAGATTAACCCTTAGGAGTCTATTTAATCGGGTAAGGGTGTGAAATCTTATCATCTTATCTATGTATATGATTATGTATGTGTTGTATGGATTTGTTTGGTCGTTATTCCTCTTTTTCCATTCTAGGGCAGAAATGGATTTAATCGATAGAAAACGAAGTTTAAACGGTTAGAATCTGGAATAAATGGTGTAGTTTAATCGAGGAATGTTAGGCTAAGACTACTGAAACTTGTTGGAATTGAATCGGGTGATTTTGGAAGCTTCTGAGGTTTTTGGACAATTGGGGTTTTTGAGTTCGCAGATGCTCGCTAGCACGTTCGCTAGGCGAGCAGGTAGCGAAGGATCACTAGCGTGTTTGCTAAGCGAGTGGGTAGCAAACCATTCCAGCAGCCAAAATCAATGTTCGCTAGTGTGTTCGCTAGGCGAGTGTGGTAGCGAGGGGTTCGCTAGGCGAGTGTGGTAGCGAGGGGTTCGCTAGGCGAAGCCCCAACGAGAAGGTAGCGAGCAATTCTAGTAGCTCATAAGCATCCTTCGCGAGCAGGTTCGCTAGGTGAGTAGGTAGCGAGTGTTCTCTAAGCGAGCAAGCCAGCAAGCATGACATCACAACTTTTTCTTTTGATTCATTTTGTATCAGTTCCTTGGTTCGGTTGCGATCGACCTCTTCTTGAATGAATAATTTGTGTGTTGTTGTTTGATATACCGTGGGTAGCTGTATGGCGTGAATCCTAGATTGTGGAATCGTTTGTGAATTGTGGTCGTTTGGCAAATATAGGCATTGTTTGGATTGATTAAACATGCATGATGATTGTGATGAATATATCATGGAGTATACATTGTGATGTATAATGATTATATGAAATTAGATGAGAAGAAGATGCATGAAAACATTATGAATATGTATGCATTTCAAGAAGTGTATGGAGTTATTTTGCATGTGAAACATCATGATATACATTCTCGTGCTGAGTGATTCTAAGGAGAATCTGCAGGTAACATCGTGTGCCATGAGAGGTGTGAGCGATGGTTACAAATGGTTGTGTGCCACGAGGGGTGTGAGCAATCGGGATTGTGTACCAAGTAGGGTGTGAGCAATCCATAACATTGTGTGCCCATGTGGGGGTGTGAGCAATGGGTGAACATCGTGTACCCAGGTGGGGGTGTGAGCGATGGTTCCAATAAGTTCCTGAGTGAACTTGATGATAATTGAGTTAGTACCGCATTGCATCTGCATAGAGTCGTGAGTCGGTCTTTATGAATTGCATTTGTCATCTGTATAATGATGCATTAGTAAATAAACATGAACGTCTATGTTTATATGGAATGGTGTGAATTGTAGATATGTGCATGATAAATATGCTTAGTGTTTTATATATATATATATATATATATATATATATATATATATATATATATATATATATATATATATATATATATATATATATATATATATATATATATATATTATCATAACAAAAATGCATATAATTATATATATATATATATATATATATATATATATATATAATTATATGCTTTTTATATATATAATTATATATATATATATATATATATATATATATATATATATATATATATATATATATATATATATATATATATATATATATATATATATATATATATATATATATATATATATAATTATATGCATTTTTATTATGATAATATTTTTCAC